AGGCAAATGTTCAGACTATAATTTAATTCAGCAGCTGTAAGATATGAAGGTAACAATTTTCTATGTTTCAGTTTATTAACGATCCTCAAACAAAAAGCAATTACTCTTATCAACTTATTGAGTGATGAATATTTAGTCCAGACAGGCAGTTCTTCATTACTTCGATCTGAGACAGCAAGGTAAGATTTAATGGCTTTTTTCTCCAAATCAGTAGACAAATTCTCAATTAGAGGAAACTCGTAATAGGATTCATGTAACATCTGCGGTCCATGCCACCATAATCCATGCTCGATCAATTCCCCTGGCCTCAATCCTCGAGACGCGCAGTCAGCAGGATTTTGATTAGACTCAATATGTGACCATTGACTGCTGTCTAAAACCTCTAATATTTCAGTTACTCGGTTGGCGACAAACGTCTTCCAACGGTTTGGTTCGCCTTTCAACCAGGCTAAAACTATGGTTGAATCAGTCCAAGCACGTAATTGAACCTTGGATACCTTCATGACTGATGACACCTCCGATAACAATTTTGCCAAAAGTACCGCGCCACAAAGCTCTAAACGAGGTATGGAGATCTGCTTAATGGGAGCAACCTTAGTCCTCGCTCCTATCAAGTTAACATGAACTTCTCCAAACTTGTCTTTAATACGAGAATAAACGACTGCACTATATGCATCGTTGGAGGCATCACAATATCCGTGGATTTCTATGTCAGTGGTATCGTATGTTGCGTGCATCCACCGAGGTAATTTGACTTGATTAAGTTTTGGCAATTCTTCTCGAAATGAAATCCATTTATCTAGCAGATCAGATGGCACTTCCTCATCCCAGCCAAGTCCTGCAAGCCAAAGCTTTTGAATGTATATCTTCGCTTGAATAATAACCGGTGCAATCCAACCCAGTGGATCAAAAAGGCGAGATATATCGGATAAAATGACTCTCTTTGTAATTGGCTGCTTTTGTGGATGTAATTTAATTACGTACTCAAATTCATCAGATGAGACATTCCATGACACTCCTAAAATTTTGACCAAATCATCTGTCTTAATCACCAAGTTTCTGTCTGCTTTGTTGTCTTCTTGAATTTCTTGCATAAGTTTCTGACTATTACTTGCCCATTTCTGCAATTTAAATCCACCTCTTTCTAATAATTCGACCATTTGATTGTATATATCAACTGCTTCCTCTTCCGTCTGACAACCTGACATAAGATCATCCATATAAAAATCTTGCAGTACTCTATCAGCTGCCAAAGGGAAGTGCTTGCCTTCATCCTTGGCGACTTGTTGAAGTGACTTTACTGCAAGATAAGGCGCAGAAGAAACTCCAAAAGTTACTCTCAGGATACGGTATTCCCTGAAGGGCTCGTTTGAATTGTGTCTCCACAGAATTCGCTGAAATCTGGTGTCTTTGTCATGTACCTTAACCTGCCGGTACATCTTGATGATATCTGCCACAAAGCAAATTGGATAAGTACGCCACTTCATCAATAGATGTCTCAACTCTCCCTGCAATCGTGGACCGGTAAGTAGGTCATCATTCAATGATTTACCATTATTCCCTTTACACGAAGCATCAAACACCAGACGAACCGCTGTGGTTGATTTATCTAACCGAACAACAACTAACAACGGTAAGTAAACGGCATCTGCTCTAACCTTTTCTCTTTCTTCAGTTATAAGTTCCATGTGATTCATATCTATATATTCTTCTATTACTTTTGAACATTCCTTTCTTAGAATTGGATCCTTTTCTAACTTTCTTTCCATAGTCAGTAATCTCTTTTTAGCTATTTCTTTAAAATCTCCTTGTTCGCAATCAGGATTATTCTTGCGAAACGGTAGTCGCACAACATAACGACCTGATTCATCCCTGGTTGTAGTCTTTTCATAATACTCTTCACAAGCTTTATCTTCTTCTGACATGAAATTCTGCTCTTTACCAGACTCCAACTCCCAGAACTTACGCAATATCTCATCAGAATTATCCAGCGAATGCATGCTAACTATGCTGGAATGGTGACAATGATGGTTTACTTCTACTCTACCGGATAATATCCACCCCAGCTGTGTATCTTGAGCAGTGACACTGCCCTTTCTAATAATATTATTCGTTAGGAACATTCCATAAACATCCGCCCCTAGCAACAAGTCTATCTTACTAGGTGTACCATAATCGGGATCAGCCAGAGTTAAACCTGATAATTCTGGCCAATCTTGAATATTAAGTTTTTGAGCTGGTAAACTGGATGACAAAGCGTTCAAAACATAGGCCTGAATTTCATAACTAAACGAGGTATAAATGGACTGTATCTTAAAAATGACCATATGTTTGATGGATAAGTTAAACTGATCTCCACCCAAGCCAGATACTATTCCCTTGAAAGGAATTTTACGAAGCCCTAATAATTGAACAACACGCTCCGTAACGAATGAGGCTTGAGAACCCTGATCCAGTAATGCTCGCAGTGTATAACAATCTCTATTAGTGTCCACGTGTACTAAAGCCGTAGCCAACATTACTTGACCAGGTGATGATATTGAGCCATTAGCAAAATGTGTTGAAATTCGACTTGATTCTTGAACCTCCTCTCTCTGCACATTTTCTTGCTCTCTGTGCTCGGATTCATTCGTTTGATTTAGTTCCATATTAGACGATGAACTCGAACTTCCCTCAGGGTGCAGTAAAGAGTGATGTCGCCGTCCGCAACGCCTACAAGTGGTACGTCTCTTACATCGGCTCACTGGATGATTACTTCCAAAACAGTTGAAGCATAATTTATTTTTCTGAATAAATTCATGACGACTTTCATAACTCTCATTACAAAACTTTTCACATTGGAATAATAGATGACTTTCTTTACAAAAGGAACAGGAGATTGCGGTAACACTAAAAACTTTTGGTCTCTCTACTTTATCATCATTTCTCTCGTTATTATGAAGACATTCCATAGCCAAAAACCTGCATTCTAGGAATTTATTGAATTCCTCTAACGTTGGTAATATGTCTGAGTGGTCACTGATCCTGTGCTCCCACTGAACTCTAGTACTATTATCTAGTTTTAATGACACAAGATGTATAATGATAATGTCCCAAGAAGATGTATTGACTCCTATATTAGATAATGCACTCAGGCAATCATTTGTTGTGTCCAGTAACTGCTTGATTCCGTTTGCAGACTCTGTCATCAACTTCCTTTGACCGACCAGTCTCGTGAGAATTGAATTAGCAATATAGCGCCTATTATTATATCTCTTTTTTAGCTTATTCCAACACTGTGTATAATTAGCGTCTGTGATTGGGATATGACGTAATATCTGTTCAGCTTCTCCACTGAGGTGTGCCTTTAAGTAGTGCAACTTCTGAACTTCTGCTAAAGATGTATTACTGTCGATCATAGAAACAAATAAATCATGGAAAGACTGCCATTCCAAATATTTTCCTGAGAAAATTGGTAAAGAAATTCGTGGTAAATGAGCAATACTACTTCCAGAAGGCGAGTTTGAAGATTGATCTTTACTGTTCTCCTCTTTTTCCTTTGGTTCATCTTTTTTTAATAATGCCATAGAATCTTGGAGTGCACATTTAAATTCAACATATAATTCTTCAACTTCATCAAATAGACTTAGTTTAAAATAACTTATATCTTTGTCTGTATCTACGGCTTCTTTTAAAATATTCCGATGATTTTCTTCAAACTCCCGCCAATTATTATTTAAAATATTTAATCTCTCTGCAAAATATCCATATGAACTACGACTTTTTGACTTTTTATAATTGCTATAATTTTTATTTATTTTATCTTGAATACTTTTCTGAATTTTCATTAAACCTTCCATTTTTGTTTTAGTAAATTGCCAATTGAAAGTTGAAAGTCAATTAATAACCGTTTGCACTGAGTCTTAAACGATACACTGGGTGAGTGAGCATAAAAAAATACAAATGTCTATTCACAATGTCGCACTGATTACTAAAGTTCAAGTTATTAGAGTTAGTTCAATAATCACTGAATGTTACAATATTTAAACTCACAAATTTTTCTAAGTTTTTTATTAGAACCCGAAAATTTTACAAGTGTTTTTTGCATTTATTTCGCTGTGTTTTCGGGCATAGGTTCCCCGTCTCACACAATTTTGGCGAAATATTCTAAGTCCAGTTCACTAATTATTTTTCTAAGTCCCTAAGCTACTCCTAACCAATAATAACTTGATTGTACTTACAGTTCGTCCCAGCTACTTACGACACTAATCACTAGCTCACTCACCACCGAACTTCACTTCACTAAAGTACCACTAGAGGTCGCCACTGTCCGGGTCGAAGGCCAATGTTTTACTCGAGGCCAAGAAATCAAACAACACCGAATTGGATAGTAAACAAAGATATATTCGGGTGTAAATCGAACTCAATAATTACAAAATTCCGTACAGTGGTCATAATCAAAGAAAACGAAACTATAGCGCGTTGTACATTTCACCTAGCGCCATCTAGTATAAATATTGAGAACTTTAATTGATATTGGTCGAACAAATATAGTCAATGAAAAAACATTTTTAGGAATAGTTTTTGATAGCAAAATGTCATTTTCATCTCATGTTACAAAAATATTGAATAAAATGGATAAAAGTGTCAATATTTTGAGATACTTAGCTGGTGTTAGTTGGGGTATGGATCCCAAGTTACTAAATATGTTGTATAAGTCCATTGTTAGAAGTCATTATGATTATGGTCTGTTTATTTATGGAAATTGCATAAACTATACTCAATTAAGAAAAATAGAGGTAGTACAAAATAAGGGTCTTAGAATCATAACAGGAGCAATGTGTTCGACTCCTATTAATTCTTTAGAAATTGAATCTGGCATTCCTCCAATTCATGTAAGACTTAATTATTTGATGGAAAAATATTATTTAAAAATTTTTGCAAATAATACACTGAGTAATATATTAAAAAATAATAAAATTATACAAATTGATAATGAACTATTAAATGAATTTGTTAATATGTATCAATGTGATAAATGGTCTTACGGTTCACTGGATGTTCAAACTACAAAACCTACAATAGTACAGGAGAGAGTGATGGATAATAATGAATTTATAATATACACCCAAACATATAAACCTGATTACAGAAAAATATTTACTGATGGATCGAAATCTGAAGACTCTACTAAAGCGGCATATTTTGACTCCTTTACTAAAACTGGACAATGCTATGTACTAGATCAACATTCATCGGTTTTCACTGCGGAAGCATATGCAATTTTTAAAGCTTTGAAATATGTACAAGACATAGAAAATTCAAGACGATTTCTAATAATAACGGATTCTCTAAGTGTATTGACATCCTTAGATAATTATAAAATAAGCTACAAAGATAATTTATACATTTACTTAATAAGAGAAATTTTATATGACATGAAATTGTACAAAGTTATAGAGTTCATGTGGGTTCCATCTCATGCTGGTATTACTGGAAATGAAGTTGTAGACAGAATGATGAAGATTAATGAACTGGATTGTCATTTGGATTTATCGCCAGTGCCAATAACTGACTACAATGCATTAATTAACAGAAGGATGTTTAGTAATTGGAATAGAAAATGGGCAGAAACCAAAATGATAAAAGGAAAATGGTATGCTGATATACAGAAAGAAATTTTTGGAAAACCATGGTATTTCAAATTACAAGAACCATCTAGAAGATACATTACAACGATTAATAGAATTCGTATGGGACATGGGCAGTTTCCGGCTCATTTGCATAGAATAAAATTGAGATCTTCTTCAAATTGTGACTACTGTACAGCAGAAAATGCCGATTTACAACATATTATAATGGAATGTCCAGCATTTGGTTTGCAGAGACTTATTTTGATAGATGGCTTAATAAGTTTATATAATAAAAAAGAAGTACCCCGCCTCTTGCCATCTATCCTACAAAATAAAGAAAGTTATCCATTTTTATACGAGTTTATACATAATACAATAAGAACGTTATAGATTATAATGCTAAAGATATAGTTAAATGTAATTGTTTGGCTGAAAGGAGATTTCCAAGGCCGTAAAATACTTAATAAAAAAAAAAAAATGACTTATTATGTACTTACTATAGATATGTAATTTATTTGAATTTACTTTAATTCAGTATTTCATTAACTTAATGCATTTATGTATTTTTTTATTATACTTCTTACTGATGATATGGTTTAATGAATAAAAATAGTAATATGTATAATGTTACATCAGTTTATTTACTGATGTAACATTTCGCAAATATGTTTACTATTTACATCGAACAAATATTTCGTATTTATGATTCTTAATTATTTTTCAATGACGAAGTATTCTAATATTAAGTTACTAAAATATGAAATTTAAACGGGGTTACTATGATGTTTTCCTGAGAACTTGTGCCAAAAGTCCGTCTAGTATCGCGGTGAGACATTATGAAAACGGCGTCTACAGAAGCTACACGTACTCCGAGTTGTATGGAGTATGTGAATATATATCGCAAAATCTTCAACAAATTAAATGTAATAAAGGCATAATTGGATTAATATCTAAAAGAAACATCATCATACCATCTGTTATAGCTGCGTACGTTACCATTTTATTAAATTAATAATGTATTTAAAAATACGGACACCTGTGGCTCACTTATTCTTTTGCATGATTTCAGGGCTCACAAATGCTGTACTACATTCATGTTTTTGGACCCCACACAGGATATAGAAAGCGTAGCTAATGATATGAAATTTAGAGTTGTCATTTATATAACAAATAAGGAAAAGGCTTTGAAAAGCGAGTTCTTTAATAAAAAGCCAGATAAAACTGTGACAATTTTCAATTTGTTTGTGTATTTCTATAATTTTGAACATCTAAATAGTGCTATATGTATACCTGAATATTCATTCATAGCCATGACATCGGGCAGTACTGGAGAACCAAAACACATTCAAGTTCCTGTGCAATGTATTCAACCAAATGTAGATGATCTAACTAAATTGTTTAATATTACATCCAATGATGTAATATATTTCTCTACACCTCTTACATTTGACCCTTCTATGATAGAGATATTAATTGCCTGTTTGAATGGAGCCTCTCTTCTAATCGCACCTGAAAAAGCAGAAATATTATTTCCTGAAAATAGAGAAAATTCTGTGACATTCTGGCAGCTTACACCATCAAGGTTTTTTCAGTATTCCAATGCTGATATCAGGAATAAAATATTAAGTCCTACTTCAACATTAAAAATATTGGCCCTGGGTGGGGAGCCCTTAAATGGAGTTAAAAGACTAAAGGAACTGAAAGATGCAAACAATAAAACAAGAATTTATACTTTGTATGGAGTAACAGAAATGTCATGTTGGGCCTGTGTGGCTGAATTAGACCTTAGTAGAATGTTATCTGATAAAGAAATACCTTTGGGTAATTGCCTATCTGAAACAGAATTGCATGTGGAACCAAATGTTGATAATAAAGAATCTGGAAAAATAGTATTAAGTAAGTAGTATTTAAAACTTTTGCAAATATTAAATTTAACACAAAATTCTTTTATTTTTTTTTTTTTGACAATTCACACAGCGCCATCTAGACCCAAGTTAAGCTAGCTAGAGCTTGTGTTATGGGTACTAGTTAACTTATACAAATACATAGATATTTTTCTTTTTGTAAATACATACATATTATACATAGAAAACATCCAGACCGATACAAACAATCATACTCATGAATACAAATGTTTGTGCTGTGCGAGGAATCGAACCCGTGACCATCGGACGTAAAGCGGTGTGCTTGACCGCTAGACCACCGAGGGTCGATTTAAAATAATTAATATAAAAAAATACTAATTCATGAATATTGCATCACTAAACTATGAAATACAATAATAAAACTATTCTAATCTTTTCAATTTTATATTTATATAATTTAAATGACTGATATTATTAAATTAATTGTTCTAATTTTCAGTAAGCAAAACGAGAAAGTGTATTATTTTAAATAAATCAAATGGAAATGAAGAAGAAAGTTCCCTAAAATTCATTGACACTGGTGATTTGGCTGAAGTAAAAAATGGTAATGTATATTATAGAGGACGCAAAGATGATATTATTAAAAGATTTGGACACAAAATTAATTTACAGTACATCGAATCAAGTGTAATGCAATGTCCAAGAGTGAAAACAAGCTCTTGTATCTGGCTACCTAAACCATCACTTTTAGTTGTGTATTTCTCATCAGAAACACTTAGCAGCCAAGAATTGTCAGACTTTCTAAAATGTAAGCTTGATGATAAGCACTGGCCAGATAAAATCATTAGAGCTGACAATTTACCCACAAATCCACATGGAAAAATGTCTAAATTGCTACTATCTAAGATGTATGAGGAAACAGTGAATATGCCACTAACATTAGATTCATTAAGAGTTAGTTTTTTGAAGGAACTCCAAATTATAATGAGTAAAGTAAACTTGACTTATGAAGAAATAAAAGACAAAGATTTTTTTTCTATTGGTGGCACATCATTTCTGGCCGTGTCCATGTGTAACAAGCTGTCTCTCAGCTGTCCAAAATTGGGCAATCTAATTCTACCTTACTTGGTGTCTCAAAAAACTACCATTGATGATATCTTACAATTGGTACATAAAGAAACATGTGATAGTGAAATAAAAGTTAAGAAAAAAATTAAAAGGACATACTCAGATGCTCATAGTTGTACACAGAGTCAGTCTTACAAGAGGTCTAACACTGAAAGTTCAACAAATCTTATAGAATTCATACTATTATGGACCAGTGATACTGGGAAATGTGTTGATGCCTCTCCATTATTATTTCAAATAGGATTGTAAGTGGCTTATAATATAGTTTTATTGCCTGTAATATTATATTTATTATCTCACTCTTATCAGGGATAAGCTGTTGGTGTATATATCCTACATGATAATTGAAATAAATAAAATGAGCATGAAGCTGTCCAGTAAAAATTTATAGTATACAAAATCTAGTATGCCAGCTTCTATCTATGATTTTGTCTTGTTCATATTTACTATTGGTACTTGACTTCTGATTTCAATCTAGTATAAAAATTAAAATACATATATAATGGACTTATTATTTTTCAGCAATTTATATGCGATAGTCGGGAGTCATTCTGGCAAAATCGTAGTTGTAGATGCAATATCTGGAATATTGCAGGGCACATTAATAGTAAATTCGCGGATTGAAGCATCCGTATTCTGTTACCACAAGAAAGAAATGTCACCGTGCGCCGTGGTTGGCGCACATGACGGTACCGTGCTATGCTTTGCATTGGAAACATGCAACGAAATCTGGAGGATTAATATTGGGTCCATGATAAAAAGCAAAGCAACATGTTGTAATGATTTATTCTATATTGCTTCCTATGATGGAAGAATTAGGTGTATTGATGTAATGGTATGAGTATACATTTTTTGTTAATTTGAAACAAAATTAATATACGTGATGATAATATACACACTCAAATTTTTACCAGTGTTGATATAAATTTAAAATATACTTAAAAACACGTTCATCAATATATATTAAAAGTAATATCTACTAAAGTTAAAGTTCGAAACGAGGCACTATTGTCAGATTGATTTTTTGATAAAAAATTATATCTATCTTTTTTTACTTTAACCTTGCAGACTGGAGAAATCAAGGAAACTATTCATATTGCAGATCAGGGGATATCAGCCAACTTAGTTCTAGCTAAAAATAAGTATGTGCTTCTTGGCACCCTGTCTGGTGTCTGCGCAAGTATTCATACAATCACAAATACAGTAGCTTGGTGTGGAACTCTTGGCAGCCCAGTGTTTGCCAGTCCCATACTATATGATGATGACAAATATGTGGTATTTGCTGAAGTTAATGGTGATATTCATTGCAGAACGGTCGAGAAAGGTATCAAGGTGTGTTGTTAGTAACATAATAAATTATCACTTAGTACCTATAGATGGTACTCTATGTAGCCATTCATAATACCTTTGAACAATCACCACAGCGCCATCTAGATCAAAGCTAAGCATAGCTTATGTTATGGGTGACAAGTGATATAAATCTGTTCCTCTCATGGACTAAGTTTTTTCTCTGCTTTGTAAGAACTGTTTGAAGATATTTAGCTAAAGAAGATACAAGTTATAAATCTATTTACATTGGGAAAAGAGGATTGTTAATAATGTTAACTAATGCTAGCAATTTATTTTGTAAGGTTGATAACTAATGCAGATAGGTGCATCATTCCCTTATCATCTAATAAAAAAACTGTAACTTTTAAAAAACCCAGTTTTTTATTTGCAGATTTGGAAATATCAAGGATCAAAAGGGAATATCTTTTCGTCACTTTATGTAAAAGAAGTTGATAAATTAAAGTGGCAAATGGTTTTTGGTTGTCATGATAGTAATGTTTATAGTATTAATATTAAGAATTTCCAGCCTAGCTTGCATTGGAAAACACAGCTTACTTCACCTGTGTACTCCACACCTTGTGGCTTAAGTGATAAATTAATACTAGCTGCTTCCAATGATGGGAAGATCTGTGTTATAGATGGAGAGACAGGGATGATATTAGCAGATTATCAACTGCCTGGTGAAACTTTCTCATCTCCAGCAGTCTATGGAGATTACATATTCATCGGTTGTAGGAATGACCACCTTTACTCTTTGAAATATGTTTTAAACTTGTAATTAAACTGTCTAGTTAATTATAAGAAATTAATATATGATCACTGATCTACTGAAAGATGTTATAAATATCACAAACAAATGTTTGATTATGTATTAAATTTTAATATGGGTTAATAAAAATCATAATGTTCATTATGTATCTTTATTCATGATCTTACACAAAACATATACATGTATAATGAGCATTCATATTGACATATTACAAATATGATATGGTTACAGGATCAAATAATGTACCAAAATGGAATGCATATCATTCGATACAATTAAATCTACACTTGTGCAGATCATCATAGTAGCTTCTTAAACTTAAAAAATAATAAAAGCATCTTAATAGTTCAATAAAATCCTTTAAATAACAATCTTAACGTTTTGCAATATTTTTGGTAATAATAAAATAATATATTTGCTGGTACCATTTGAATGAGAATAGTTGCACATATACAATTGTCTACTGCCAATACACCTAAGCTCTTATAAATCAGTACCCAAAACTCCCTAATGAATATTTTTATAATTGTTGCCAAACAGTTCAGTAAACAGATTAAAATTAACAAGCAATTTACATAGATATAACTTATTTTACTGCTCTTCCTCTCCTAATTCAACTTTAACTTTGGAAAAGTCAAAGTCTTCATCTGTACCACGTTTGTAAATCTTTAGTACATCTAAACATGTTGTCTCAAAGTGAGTTGTTGCATCATAGGACTCAGATATAAAGATGGAGCTTTGGCTTCCATCATCAGTAGGCTCATAATAGTCTGTCACTGACACAAATTTCTGCCTTATGGGTCCCAACACATCTAGGCCAGGCTTAATCTCAGATTCAGGATCCTTAGTTTCAACTGTAGTGGACACCATAGCAATGAACCATCCCTTTGCAGCTACCTGGTGTGTATAGGAGACCAGTGACACATAAATATCGGAATGCCTTCCAACTTGCTTCTGAGGAATGATAATCTGAGTAGATAGTGCATCCTTTGTATTAGCAATAGGATGATCCAATAGACAAATGCAGCGAATCACCTGTGCCTTCTTGCGGACTCTGTCAGGGACATAGCTCGGGTCACAATACACTTGCTTGCACTTAGCTATCTCATTTCCAGAGCGTACTCCAATAACCTTACCACCTTCTCCCAGGACAATCTCATCAATGGGTTTATCCAACATGTATGTACCACCATAGATAGCAGAAAGACGAGCAAAGCCTTGTGGGAGCTCACCCAATCCATACATGGGATACAAGTATGGAGATTTCCCATATCTTGCCAAGGAATCCGAGTACAACTTAATGCGTCGAATGGTTTGAATAGCAGGTTGCTGGAGGTAATTGTCATCAAGATAAAGTGCTAAAGCATGACCAGTAAAGTCTTGAGTATTTTTATCAAGACCAAACTTATCATACAATGATTGCATATTGGCTGTGCTGGGATCGAAATCTTTCCATGTTTTGCTATCTTCCTCTTGGAAGTCTTGAACATAAATCAGAAAATTACGAAACCGTCTTTTTTCAAACATACCCATGAGATCAGATGCAAGCGCCTCCTTTTGATCGACCGGCACTTTAGATATTTTTCCACCCTTGTAGACATAGCTGCCTTCCACCGATTTGAATTCCAAATACCGGGTGACGCCCGTATGTATGAGCAGCTTTACAAGAAGGCCATTGGCCATCAAAAATTTCGGAATCAAGTCCACATTCCAGTCGCGGCCTCGACCGTATGTTTCATCCGGTGCCGGTGCATTGAACTTTGCGAACAATTCTTCTAACGGGGTAATTGACGCAGATTCTCCGCCGTAGTACTTGTTACGATCAATGTGCAAAACCTTCTTTCCAGAAACAGATAACATCCCGCTGAGGATGCATTCCTTGAGTCCGGTGCCCAATACAATAGCGTCATATTCTTCATCCATGGTGAAACGAATCAAAAGGTTTAATCCTTATAAATATTCCAATAAGAAATTGTTAACCGGGAGACAAAATGTCAAAATGTCGGAAGAATTAATATGTCGGCCATGCATGGGTGACGTCGACGAATCAGTGTTGCCAAAATTCCAACAATGTTTAGAGCGCTAACTACTAAGCAAAACATCAATAACATTAGACAACCATCTAGTTTTTAAACGTGTCAATGAAAACTTTACATTATTATTTTGTATAAAAAAATATACTTATTTTGAATCATTATAAAGTTGAAATATGTTCTTATTACTATTATTACTATTTGCATGGATTTAAATGAATTTTTCACATTAGGGTTTCAATATAAAATTTAAATCTTAGTGTATCTTAATACTATTTTGTTATGTTCTTCAACTTAGACTAAACATATTAAGCAAGTGCACACTTGGACACTGTGATTACTTACTTAGTCGTAAAATGCTCTATGTTCCGTATATAGGTATTCTATGGTACAATCTGACGTCTAAACACAGAACATTGTTCTGAGTTTTAGGTTTCTGACACTGACACTGTTTGACACGAACACGGACAGTGACGAACATAGAACTGAATAATTGTGTCGTGTCTTTCAACTCCAAAAGCACATATTACTTTTATTCGCTACCTATACGTAAATGATTGTTTACACCGTGGCAATCAATTTTAATTTTATAGAAAAGCTCTATAATTGAAAAATGTATTGCAATTTATTTATAATAAAATATCTAATTGTGTTTCGTGTTAGTTGTAAAAACAGTTAACAGTGATGTGTACAATAGTAAACAGATAACTTTAAACCATATGTTTCATTTATAATTTATTATCCTGTCGAATCAAACGACCAAGTTATTGTCGTTTTAAATGAGAGGAAACAGCAAAATAATAATTTCTCAGATGAATAAAAATGTCAACAGAAGGAAGCGGCGAAACTCCCTCAACAGTGCCAAGTTTGCCTGGAGCACCGGAACAAACGTACTTATTTCCCAAAGTGAAGGGCCACTCCAGATCTATAAGTCATGGAGGGACTCCAATGCTGGCCGGGAACCCGGCGGCACAGCGTCCACTCAAGTCCGCGTTACGGGGCCATCAACGTGCTTTGTCCCATGGTCAGATAGTAGAAGGGCCCCGTGCGGCTTCGGGGCCCGGTCACAGCCGAACCGGTAGCCGCACAGATTTTATTTTACCGCCAGGACACCGGGAACCGGCGCCGGCCAGTGCTCAGCCACGTTTAAGCTCGATTCGCGCGCACCATTCTCGCCAGGCCTCTCGTTCTGACTCCATCTACACAATTCGTCGGAGCTCAGTGATTGGACCCTGGCGACGTGCTGTTTTCTGGCTCCTACGTCGGCAACAGCCTGCTGTTGATAACCGTCTACTTATAGTCACCCCTAATCACCTAGTGCCTGACAAAACTCCTCCAAAGGATCACCCAAATGGACACAGATGTGATAATAAAATCAGGACTACAAAATATACATTACTATCATTTTTACCAAAGAACTTGTTTGAGCAGTTCCATAGGATTGCAAATGTGTACTTCATTTTCATAGTTTTGTTGAACTGGGTACCAGCTATCAGTGCATTTGGTAAGGAAGTTGCAATGCTGCCAGTGTTGTTTGTGCTTGGAGTGACTGCTATCAAGGACCTGTTTGAAGACCGCCGGAGACATCTATCAGATAAAAGAATTAACAATTCATTCTGCAGGGTTTATAAAAAGTGAGTACATCATTATTTTTTCTGCTTTGAGTATCCATAGTTTACACTGCATAACAAATTTATAGATATATATATATATGTATATACATTGTCATTATTAAAAATGAGAGAGATGATCCAATGAATTGAATGAATGAATGTACAAGTTTATAATCAATAGAGATTCACATAAAGTGGTCTTAATTTTTAATATTTTTATTATAAGTACTTTATTTAACATTTGCTCCACTGATTATGTGCAACCAGCAATATAATAAATATATTAAAAATAATAATTGATATTTTGATTTTAAAAAAATCAATTAATTTTAATATATACAAATTTTAGAAACCAATGTTCTATCCTAATTTAGTACTTCTGGGTAAAACCAAAACATAACCACATCCTATAAATACAGAAGTGATAGATTGATATAGTTTTAAATAAATTGATAAAAAACGTTTAGATTGAGATTCCAAGACTTGAAAATAAAAGCAGGATGATTTAACAGGAATCTGGAAATTACATAGTTATTTTATTTAAATGGTACATTAATAGTAATTCATTGCTGCTTCTACACATTTTAACCAGTTAAGTTTTTATCAGTAATTTCGGCTAGACAGCGATTTGAAACGAGATAATTACTTGTTTGCTTATAAAACATAAGCAAACTCTTAGCTAAGGGTAACTTTTAAGCGCAACTTATTTCGCGTGTACAGTTAAAATATATTTAATACCCTGGAAAAACCTCTCAGCAATAACCGCCTCGACGGACTTACAGATCCTCTTAATGAACTTCGAGAAAGAATAGAATTGATTTCGTATCACGTCAGCCTAATAAACTGCACGGGAACATATACGTATTTTTTTACGGTAGCGACTTTGAAGCACAAAACGTTCTTAGTGGTGCATTTCTAGAGTATTATAGACCAACAAATAAATTTTACATTTGAATTCGTACTATTTGCTATTTCGTAGGTATCCTTGAAACCACTAACACAGTTGTCACAGCTACAAACACAACTCTTATCGCCGTGTTCGCATCGAAACAATGGGTAATAGACGAATTTTCGGATATTGTAAAAACGTTCAACTATTAATTGTACATACAATCGTGTCCTAGTTACGTACATTATCAATTTTCGAACAATGCTTAAGTATGCTATGCGATATCTTCACCAATTGGTTCAGAATGTCGAAATTCTTAAATTTTCATAAAAATTAAGATTTAAGAGTTTACGAAATTTTTAGGACTGTAGTACCAATACTAAATAGGGGGTATTGGTCCTATATTGCCACCAATTTTGTACAACACGGGGCCGTTTTATTGAATAGCGAAACTAGCAACACGTCCTAATGTTATCTGGTTTGAATAGCATTAACAATGATTGACTGTATATATAATGCATAAGTATTTCTATCTAGAACAACGTATCTCTGAATTATTGATTTTTTAATGCATTCCAGATATTGACAAAATTCACAATCTGTATTTATACTATTGGTGTAGTGTAGATGTCTATCTATATGTATGCCTGCCGTTTTCTATTTGGACATATCAATCAGATTTTTTTACTTTTATATTTATAATTTACGAAATGTAGTCAGTTTATTACTGTTGATTTGGTAAACGGACACACTGCTTGATGTTAAGCAGATACCGTTACTTGATATTCTACATCACCACTTCCTAATTGTCCTAACACTTTTTTATACATAGCATTATATTATGTCTACTCGTACTAGCTTATGCTAATATTATAAATGTGAAAGTTTATAAAGATGTTTGGATTTTTTTACTCGATCACTTGTAACGGCTGAACGGGTTTGAATTAAATTTAGTACACTAATAGACCTTGCCCTAGATTAACACATAGAATACGTTTATCTTAATTTAATCGGTCGGGGTTTTATCTTAGTTTATCACTGAGTTTCGGTTAGAGTTGTCTGGGTTCTAAACATATATAATTTCGCATAAGTCTCCTAAGTAATCAGTAAAAATGAACATGGTTGTAGGATAGACAAACAGTTATCAAATATGTGAATCCAGCTCTATCTACAATGACGACCTTCGAAGCACTTGCATATAACCTTATGCAAGGAGGTTCTCAACTCAGAATCTCATCAAATTTAAAACGCAGCCAGACGAGTTTTAAAGGTAACTTTCTAGTTTTGAATATGTAGGTTGTGTCAACATTATGTAGCCCCAGATAAACTATGTACATTTCTATTACCAATATCACTCGACTGTAAGAAATCCACTGTTGACGTAATAACACTTGAACTTAGAATTTCTATTCGAGTGTCTGAAGTAAAAGACTAAAATCGCCTAAAGTTTAAATATAACGCACTATTCTTTTCACATTTCCCAAATTTTGAAGTGTTAGTAGCAAATTAACTTACAGGTCAAACAATAAAAAGTGGTGATCACATGTCTATACCTATCAATGATTCCAAGAAAATGTCTGAAAGAATGCCATTCTAAGGCGATCATAGTGGATAGGTGGATAGGTTCATGAATAATGAGATCGAACCAAAAAGGTAGTCACGACTAAACTCGCCGGGGTTATTTTAGCATTCAATTTATGAGATTACTCGCGGGCTCGTCCCGACTTCTGGATTGAACAATATCGATATCTATATTATAAATGCAACAGTGTTTGTTTCATCTTAACAAATAAATGCCTACAACAAAACTAAATTGTAACAAGATGACAGGTACAGACATATCATTTGTCTAAAAAAAACATATGACTTCGTAGATAAGATTATTAATAAAGCTCTCATTATTAATAAAGTCTCTGTAGAATAGAGTACTATCCATTTTTGTTTTTAAATAGTTTTTAAATTGACAAATATACTTAATATAATTGAATAATACTGACTTGAAATCATTTGTCAATGATTTCAAGTCAGTAAGATTAGCGCGGATAGATTATAATAATAGGATGGATCAGGTCACAGCCTGTCGTAGCGAATCCACCAGGAATTATCTACGCTGCCAATCGCCTGTAGGGTTTTTGCTAGCACTAGGACTGAAAACTGTTGGTCCCAACTTTAATTTGAGATTCTAGCATTAACTACAAAATCGTCATAATCGAGCAATAAAATCGTAATGGGCAATATTTCCACAAACACATTATCTAGAGTGTTCCATTTCGTCGAATCGTGTGTAATGTTTCATAATTTTCCATTTACTTAGCCCAGTATACTAGTTCAGGTCTCGACCATTGGGAGTTGTAAGCATCAGTGGTCACGCAATGTAATACATATCAAGTACACAGTAGTTGTACACGTGGGACTGTAACGTAACTATGTTTCGCCCGCGCACTAATTTATTCAACTTGATTGTATTTTGATAACTAGTGTAAAGGTGCCGATGTGCGTGATAATCGTCCATGTAATTGATTTCATTAATATTGTTTGTTCAGTAAATATTAGGCGCATAAATTGATTGGGAATATTTGAAGTGGTCTTCAGGTGCGCTGTGATCGATTGTTGTAAGCTGTGAAATATTTGAAAGGTCGGCATTGGATAGGGTTACCAGATTACATGACGAGATTCCCTTACAAGTTCCAAAATTTGTACAAATTTTCTGATATGTTCAAAAGTAGTCTATTCATACAAGGGTTCTCAATGAAGCATCTTTTGAAATATCAGTTGGTCAAAATATAATTATGTATTTGAGAATAAATACTTTTAGACACTTCAAAGCCTGGTAATTCGGCGATATGGTGTAGAAAAGAAATCAAATGAGTGCAGACTTTATTGGATTCAATAGACTTCCAATGGTCTTATTCCAATCTCTCCTCATCGTACCTGCTCATTGTCCACATCAAACATGAATTACGTTTATTATACATACAAACCTTTCTCAGGAATACTCTAACTATTGCTGAAAACTACATTAAAATCCGTTGTGTAGTTTAAAAGATCTAAGAACAGATAACCGACTTAATTTTATACAATGTAAAGATGTGCATAATAGTAGTATATATTACTTACTATGGTGTAATTTTACACTATCATGACAATTATAGCACTGAATTATTTCTCGGACATTACAGGAAGATTCCAACGTATGGTAACCCTAGCCGTAGAGGCGATGGATGCCGCCCTCGAACTTTAATTTGACGGTCTACCCTGATTCGTAGTTAAGTCTGATTGATTGTAGAGGTTTGAAGATTCTCGAGGTTGATTTGTTACTACTGCACAATGCATAAACCCATTTCGATTCGATTATGTTACTAGGATCAATACAATTCTATGGATAAAATTGTCCATCTACCTTTTTCACGGTAGTCCTTTATGTAGACACTAATTGCATTCTGTTATATAAATGCAGATATTCTTTATACATATATAAAATTATAAAAAGACTATATATATATATATATATTGTAATATACCCACTAAATGGAATATCCTATTTTAGCATTACTTAGCATTTAGGTCTTAATTTTTAGACAGAGAAATTTGGTCAACTGTTAAGCCTATGGTTCAATACGCTGCTGTTTACAGGAGAAAGAAAGGCCTTGACCGGTGACCCATATTGCGTGTAGTACATTCAGACTGTCAGGTACCTACACGAGTCACGCTAAACAAATTTTATTCTCTACGTTTGAACGTTATCGCAATGCAACAGAGACCACATTCGCTTGAATAATGGGCTGGGCGACCCTACAATATTAATGTATTATCATTACACGGTACACCTTTACTAATGGACTTCAATGAATGAATGATTCATGTTTGTCCTGTCTTTAGAAAGTTCATAGAACTGTACCTATTTGTATGAGTAAATTTTTTAACGGTAGACATTTCTTATGAATTTTTCATTACTCGTATTAAGACCGATTGATTTCAGTCGTATAATTAACAGTAATTGGGTAGATAAATAAATACTTTGACATTTTAATAAAACCTATTAAAGCTATTGGAGTATTTCGTCGCTTTTAAGAATACTAAAAACTTAATTTGATAGCAACATAACAAATCACGCTAGTAAAGTATACAAAAC